CCCGCGTTTAGTACAGAAATGACAGCCCGTCGGGCTGAGGGTGTCAAATTGCTCGAAATACGGAAGGAAACTCCGGTCCGAGATCTTAAATGGTTACAGACTATCTCCATAGTCTAGGTATGGGAGTCATAGTCTTCTGATCCAAGGTCAGTTGAAGGTCGCCTTTGTTTTGGCGCGTTTTCCTCTGCAGTCCGCAACTAGTTCCCCCTCAGCTGCCCGGTCCATAATTACCCGCCTTACCCAGGCATTAGGCCACACCAAGTAAATTTTATGGATGACGTCCGCGCGCGCATTGATTTTGGCCTGTTCCTAGAAAAAAACAACAAGAAATTCTGCTTCCTGTAACTATGACCAAAGAGTGACGACAGTGCCGCAATTTTATGCTTTGTTTCTGCAGGCCTGCAAAAATGTGATGAAAGAAACAGGACAGGAAGACAACTGCTGTTCCACCTGATTTATTGCTGTTTTGATGATGAATAAAAGACTTCTTGCTTGTTACACTGTGTCACCTCATTCAATTTGTGTCCTAACATTTGTCGTCTCTTAGTATATTTCTAATCTAGGCATCTTGTTTTTTAGGGCCCTTCTTGTTGTTTTTTTTTCGCCCTCTCGCATTAGATTTAGGGTCTCCAAAGGACGTCATCCATAAAATTTACTTGGTGTGGCCTTACATGCAGGGAGGGGTCACCGGGGCACGCATTTTCACCGAGACGAAGACTTTATTTGAAATGTCAAGCGGTGCCTGCCTTGTTTTTCCGTACTAGGTGGTAAGGCCATGTTGATTGGATGATATGGATGACATCTACGCGCGCATGAATTTTCGTCCGTTTGCAAAACAAAGTTTTCGACGTTTTCAACCATACTGTAAATCGTACAAAGCAGCGGCAAAATGATCAAATATGTGCCGTAAATTGCAAAAAAAAAGTGAAACGATATTAATATTGTAGATTTTAATACCAAAATTAATTCCAAGGGAAAAGAGGAAATGTAAAAGAAATGAAAATGAAGAGTCTATACTCTGTGGTTTTTGTCATTTTTTGTCATGACCGTGTAGATTTCATAATGAAGGAAGCTTTTTTTGCCAAACTTTTTTTCATTATTAGCCCGCTCGCGTCAGTTTTGGGGTTCCCAGTGGATGTCAACCATACAATCAAACCAACAAGGCCTAAGGTCTTCCTGCGTGGGCCAGGAGAAGAAAAGACTTCCTCCGCCGCACGACCGATTCGCTTGGAGGGAACCAAAACTTCATTAGAAAAGCGAACAGTAGACGTTTTGTGTTCTCGGCAGACGTGATAGAAATGTTAGACGGAGACCGACTGTTCTTTTCTATCTTCTTTTGTCAGTCCGTTTTTAAGGTGCCCGACAACGACGCCTACTTTGGGAAATGGGTGTCTGTAACCCAAACGAAGTATGCTACAGAATGCTGCTTTCCTTTCTGTTGAATATGGGTAATAATAGTGATACTGTTGCAAGAAGAAATGCTGCCTGATTTTGCCAGAAATCCTTGCCCACGGGCGAGGGATATCGTAGCCGAGCTATATCGCCACCCACACTGTAACATGTAGGCCACGTAATTTACTAAATTGTGACAGACTCGAAGATAACAGTGATTTTAGCTATTTTTGGCTACGTTCTTGCTGAAATTGTAGAAAACTTTAGACTCAATGGCAACCCTACCATTTTTCTGGCATCTGACCAAAAAAAACAGTACAAATGTTCCACACAAAACAACAATTGTCAAAAGTTATGTACGCATCCATAATTATTTTTTTAAAGTTTTTCAAACGAACTTTTTTTGGAGAGGGTTGCGTGAAGGCAACAAACAGTTTAACTACCATTCCTAACATGTTTTCGAAATTTGGGTATTAAACAGCTTTTTCTGTATCCGCAAACATTTGAAAAGATTTAAAACAGAGACTGTATTTTGCGAGGAATCTTTCACATGGGTGAGCGACCTTTTGTTGACAAAGTATAGGTTACTAAATACCTGGCGCACTTGCGAAGGCGCGCAGTTCCGTAGGTGTTTTTTGAAGTCACACAAAGTGAAGGTAGACCGGATTTTAGGATTCTCAGAGGTACTTTGAAGTGAAGTGACTCTACCTGTGACGGTCGAGACACCTGTTATCTGGGACATCCTTAAGATGTATCCACTGTCTTCCGGTCGCAAGTCTTTGATGGTAAATAAGCAGAACGCACATGACAGATCTGTAATCTTCTGAACCACATCCTCAAATGGATGCGTTCTTCTTGAGTATAGTGGATGTTCACAAGCATTTCGTAAGTATGCCGTACGGTTTAGGCCACACCGACTTAATTTTATGGATGACATCCGCGCGCGCATTGATTTTCGCCTGTTCTAAAAAAAAAAATAAATAAAATCACGTCTGGCCTGGCTCTAGGCTTGGGTACTCCATGATAGTTAGCGACAATACGGAGCCCGTGGTAACTCTGGAGGATGGCACCCAGGCTACCAAAGCTCCACGACTCAAAAACTCAGTACATACGTACAGTGCCGATGCATAAATTCCACAAAAAGCCAGCATGTGCCGGCTTGTCGTATACGTCGCTGTGTTCTGTCTCAAATTCACAACAGCAGCTTTGTATTCCTGTTTAGTAGCATTTTTATTTTTGACCGGAATTTTTTTTATTCGCCCGCGCGCACTAGTTTGGGGGTCTTCAGAGCATGTCATCCATAAAATTAAGGCGGTATGGCCTTACTTCTAAATATATGTTTCAGGCCCCATGTCTTTGCGATAAAGCACTACTTGTAGGGACTCCAATAGGCGTTAAACAAGTCGTGTAATGGGATTAAGTAACGTGCACTGTGTACACGCACTGCAGCGAAAAATCGTCGTACTAAACACGCATTAGTGGCCCGGGCTCAGATTAGAGAACATTAGCCTTGAAAAAAACATACCTCCGCGTAACGCTTAGCAACGTTACTACAGCAATTTAAAACGTAGTTTTGCTTCCAAGGACTATTCGTGGACCTGAAAAGATTCTCAGATTTCAACCCGACAGGGAAACACGTGATGGAAAAGGAAATTCAAAAGAAGCACGGCCATGTGGTCACTGGGGCGTTACACAACCAATTATTCACACAACTGTCGCTTGGGTAAAAGAATAACCGTTTATACTAAAAAATACTCTCAAAAAAAAGAGCTTAAAATCCACAATTTGACAATCTATTTCTGAAATTAGAAATGGACAAATGGTAGAGAGTGACAGAGATTATAATATCAATGAAGTGACCACACAAACATAGAGAAAGTGAACGGAGAGTCTACTTACACATTTTCCCTGACCACCGCTATGCCATGGTGCATGATTTGGTGTTGCGCCACGGAATAGCCGAAGTGACTGCCCTCCGGCCCTTTCTTGACCACAGGATCGTCCGTGTCCAGGTTAAAACAGATACTCCGGGGGAACTGGACGCAGAGAGCGGAGAGGAGAAGGAGAGGTACCCGTCCTCGGTGCGCCATGGTGCCGACTGCTTTCAAAAAGGGTACCGTACCGGGGGGACCACTCTTTTCTCCAACCGTAGGGGTCCCGGGACTGGTAATCCGTCAAACCATTCATACAAGTGACGTGGTCTCCATTCCCTTTATAGTAGGCGCTGAGAACATTGACCGAAGAGTTAGCTGACAGATTTTTCAAAGAATTCCATGAATAAAGAACAATTTTTACGCTTTGTTTTACCACTGTACTTTTATATCTTGCATTATTTTCCAATTATGAAAAGGTCATAAATAGCCAATTTTAGTATATATATATATGATGTCGCCCAGTGATTACAGTATAGTGGAAAGGGGAACTTCTCTATATGTTTAAAACCTTCTTCTCATCAATAAGTTGATTCAAACTTAGACTTGTGACACATTCATTCCGATAGGTGGTAACATTATCGGAAGTTTATTTAGTGGCGTCGTGTGGTGTAGTGGTACATCACTGGACTATGAAACGGGGAGACCCGGGTTCGATTCCGGGTCGTACCCGAACAAGTCCGAACATGCGCCGCGACGTTGTACCCTTGGTAAAGGTACTTTACACGACTTTCCTCACTTCACTCAGGTGAAAATGAGTACCTAGCTTCGGCTAGGGACGTCCCTCGGATAGGACGTCCCTCGGATAGACAACATAGCCGGCCTGGTTGAACTACCCCCGTTTAGAACTGGGCTAATCAGAAAACAGCCGAAGACCCCAGTTCTATAAAAAAAAAACGGAGGCTAGCCCTACTAGCTAACTGACTTTCACAATCTGAGCGTTAGTAAGCCCTGACATGTCAGTTCTGAAGTGGTCCCCCCGGTACAGGACAAATCCCATTGAAGCCAGTCCCCGCCAGTGGTGGCATGTATATAAATGGGACGTTACCACAGAGTGTAACGTACTGCATGACAATTAGGCCATGTTGATTTGATTATATGGATGACATCCTCCGGGAGCCCCAAAACTGATGCGCGCGTGCGAATAAAAAAAAGGTTTGACAAAAAAAATAATAATAATTTTCATTATGAAATCTACGTGGTCATGAGGGTTGAGCAAATGGCACAGAATATGGTTTGGCGAATAATCTAGTCTTCAAGTTCATTTCTTTACAATTTCGTCTTTTTTTCGTTTGATTTTGGCATTCTACGACATTGGTATAGTTTTTATTATTTTTTTTGTATCTTATGGTATATTTTTGCTCATTTTGCAACTGTTTTGTACGATTTACAGTATGGTTGAAAACTTTTT